GTTATGCTGTTCCGGAATCTTTTATTAATCATAATGTAATCTATTTGATTTCTCACTATGCGGCCTGGAGTATCTTGAGGTGATTTCCATGTGTATAATCTTCTGTGTGGGAGTTTGAAGTAAGTGTTAGTAATCACAAACTCTTCTTCTGCTACAAATTCACCCAGTCGGTCTCCTCGCTCATTTCTTTCTCCAAGTCCAAATTGTCCTATGAATTCTCCCGATTGTCCCCTACCAATTTTGGCATTTAGATCACCCATAATCAAAGTTAAATCCTTTCCGGGGAGGCGTTTTAAGGTGTTCGTTAGTTCATTATAAAATGCTTCACTTATCTCGTCCGGCTTGTCAGCTGTAGGGGCATATACCTGAATAATGTTAGATGTAATTGGGTAGGTATTAAGTTGAGTATTCTTTCCGATATAGGTACAAAGTTTTTAACATGTCTGGCAGTTTCTTGATTTAAGATTATACCTACCCCATTTTCGTGTCTTCCATTAGGGTTACCTGAGTAATAGATATGATGATCATTAATTTTACATTGCCCAGAGTTTGGCCATCTCATCTCACTTATTCCCATTATGTCTATTGATAGTCTATCCATCTCCTTGATTGCATTATGAGTCTTGCCTGCCTCATATAATGTTTTAACATTCCATGTGCAGATCGTGAGGTTTATCTTTCCATTATAATGGCAAGGATTTCTTCTGCTGGCGACCGAGAAGGCCTTGCCGTCTTGTGATTGTCCTTCTCTGCCGGATCTTGGTATCCGAATTCCATGATCAGTAATATGGTTTCTATGATTTGTCGTAGCCATGTTAATTGTACTAGGGGTACTCTCCGAGTCTTTAATGCAGTGGTTCCTCGTTGCCTTCTGCATCTTTATGCCTTCGAGACCGATTTACCAATCTCAGGACAAAAAGGTGCCCTTCCACTTATCAGCTCATCCGCCCGAAGCCGTTGGCTTGAGAAATCTAAAAAATAATATCTAGTAAAAAATATCAAAAATCGTTAAAAGTATACAACTTTAAAATACCATATCTTGCTTAAAAATAGTCGAACAATGTTTGCGAAATAATAAGGAAAATGGACCAAAAATGCTGTGAGTGGCGAACTTTGAAAAATCATATTTTGGAAACTATAAATCCTAAGGTCTTCTACCAGACGTCATTTTAAAGAGGATGGATGGACCTTTTTTTGTGAAGCAATGCCTATATGTATGTATCTACCTATATTCCCTGAAAAAAGTTATGAGACAAAAACAAAATTGCTTTCTTTTGTGTTTTTTTTAATATATTTTTATAAAAAAAAATATTTTTGACTTTAAAAAGTAATATTTCGATAGTAAATTTAATTTGGAACAATTTTTCTGTAGATGTGTATGTACGAATGTATTCTTTGGCTAGGTGATTCGCAGAGGTGACGATAGCTGGAAGAGATTAATTGTTTCTGGAAACGCAGGATGATAACCAGCTAGATGGTCCGACCAAATTAAAAATTCAACTGGAAACGCTCTTAGAGCAGCTGAATATAGAAACAAATGGAAAATGAAAAACAAATGTACGAAAAGTGCATAGAACTTACCCTATGCACCCTAGTGCATAGCGGTTAATTCACATCTTTCTCAAAAATGCTCCCATTTAAATGGTAGCACTCCGCGGTTTTTTCATATTTAGGGGTCCATTGACCATATGAAACAATAAAACCCCTTGAATGTTGTAGTTCCTTTAGCTCTTTTATTTTGAACATAATCAATAGCCTATCTGTTGAGGTTTCTGAGTAGTTCTTCGTTGTTATGATATTATTAAAATAGCACATTTTACAGAACGTGTTTAACAGTATATACCACAAAATCAGTGCCTAATTAAAATTTAAATATACCTGTAAAAAAAATTCCATAACCTCTACTTTTTTTCGATATGCAGCGATATATTAGGATATTTCTAAAAATTGATACTTCACAAGAACGCGATTTTAATAATAGTGGCATGTTTTAGATTTTGTCCTTTTTTATTTTACATCGCACAATATGGCATATTAAAATTAACATAGATACGAATTACATTGTAAAAAAATAATTTTCGTTATTTTTGACAGAAGCTAAGTTTTAGTCCATTCACTCACGGTAAAATATTGCAAAACCTCCTTTGAACAAACCGCGTGGATTCAACGTGATACAACCAAAAAATTAAGCACTTTTCGGGGAAACCTTATTTCAACTTTTTCAAATTGTTTAAGCTTTATTTTTGCTTTTTAAACGATAACAAGAATTTCGGTTAAAAATAACATTGTTTTTTATAGTATTCTTGGTTAAAGTATTGTTATTAAATCATACTACGAGGTGATTTTGTAATGTTTTCTTATAAGTAAATACAGAATAAAGTAATACAATTAAGGAAAATGAACAAGTTTAACAAGTTTTTTAAAGAAATCTTCTATTTTCTTTTATGTTATCGTTTGACAACGATGTTTTGCAGCTATATATCTCCATCGTTCCTTTGCAGAACGTCGTGAGTTTGCCTCATTTTATCGTTAGACGAAACGTAAAGCAATCTGAAAAGGACAAAACTTTATACAATGATAACAAAAATTAAGAACCTAGTCGTCTCCCTAACATATTAAGCCTACTGTATAAAATTCTCCTTAAAGCATTGAAAATCTCGTCGGCGGTCTCATGCTGCCTGTTGTCTGTTGGGTCGTCATCTTCGTCGTCTGATACGCTCAGGTTGTCTGGATGAGGAACCATATCAATGATGTCCTGGTCGATCAATTCACTTTCTAAATTATCGGCTGCTAACCACTCACGTATCTCTTCTTATTTAATTTCGTCACATCCCGGCAAATTTTTTATTAAAGATTTAATTTTTTCTGTCGTTTCTTTGCCATTTTCTTCTTCAGGATCGTCAATCAAAATCCTATCAAAAAGTTAGTTCCAGCATTTTTCCAAAGTTGAAGATTTGATCTTGGCCCAGAACTCAGCACACCGATAAACAACATGTTTCATTGTTGAACATTTGAGGATTTCAGGAACACTTTTGGATTCATTTGTCTCCTGTAATAACAGATGTCTTAAGAATGCTCCTTTATAATGTCTCTCGAATGTCTCTATTAGTCCCTGGTCTAACAGCTGAATTAAGCTCGTGACATTCGGTGGCAAAAATCTGAAAATTATCACTATTATATAGATTTTGAGTCAACAAGCAACAATGCTTTGATAGGAAGGTTTTTTTTATTTTAAAAAGGATTTTACGCTTGGGACTAATTCATTTTCGAACCATTCTAAAAATATAGTGGTCGACATCCATGAGCTTTTTTGGCTTTTATAAAAAACTGGAAGTGCTTTTTCTCAAATATCTTTTAGAGCTCTTGGTTTTTTGATTTCCCAACACACATATGCATCAATCGGTGAGTGAAATTGATGGAATTTACATTTTGCGATAAAAATTTACTTTTTATTGACGAAATTATTGAAACTGTCAGCGTTTCGGTCAAACGATGATTCGGTTAAAAACGTTTCGCTTAAGGGAGGTTTTACTGTATATCTTAACTGTAAAAGTGTTGATTGTAGTTTTTGGTTTTTCAGAAAAAAAATACAATGTTTTTAAAAGTTTTTGTAAAGTATTTTCATTCATTAATTTTTAATAAACGAAAATTTCTCCACCCAGGTGAGATTCGAAGTATAATAAAAATTCGGCTTGGGTAGATATTATTTTATTTTATTTTTATCATTCGAAACGAAAAAATGTCTTTTGTAATTTTTCTCTGAAGTTGATCGTTTTCGAGTTTTAAATAATTTAAAACTAAAAAGAAAAAACGAAAAATTTCGATTTTCAAGGCTCAAAACACAAGCAAAAATATTAATTTTGTAATCATCAAGTACAAACTTGCGAAATTTCTTGTATTAAGTCCCGATAAGAATGTTTGCCATATTATGCATGTTTTGAATTTTTGCAAATATTTTTTAATTGTTAATGAGGAAGGTTCTTTGTGGGAAGACAGGCGATCGGGCTGGGCTACATTAATAATTAAAAAACAATGATTTAAAATGAAAGTCCAAAATACTTATCAAGACCTGATAAAATAATGTTGAGCTTGAACTTAGGTACTTCATAATTTCAAAAATGAAGTGAAACTTAATGATTCTAAGCCTTGAAGATCATCATCTCTCGTTATTTTTTGTTTTAAATTGTTTATAACTTGAAAACAATCAGCTTAAGAACAAAAATTAAAAAAGCACTTTTTTGTTTTGAATGAATCTAAAATAATATCTGTCCGCAAAATTTTCTTTATAAAATAAGTTATTATTAAATTATTAATTAATTATAATCACAACAAAATTAGATCGGGCACCCCTTGATTTTATAATTATTAACATTCTAAATTACATATCAAATAATTTTCATTGCAGTCGATCTTTATCGTATCTGTATACAAAATATAATATCGACAAAATAAATTCAAACGTTGGCGAAGTGCTAAATGCTTCACAGACATATTTCTTAGAAATCAGAGATAACGCTGGGGTGATGTCCAGTTCTCTGACTCACTACACTTCGTAAGTACTGCCATAAATTGGTTGTGGAAGGGCACGATAGGGGAGGTAACGGCACCTCTTTCTACGATCATTCTCGTATGAGCGCAAATTCGTAACTAGTTGTTTCCCGTAATATCCACTAGAGTCGCTGATTCTTGATGAAATTTTAATTTTTTGGGTTGCACGTTTCTCTCCATAAGCGTTGCGGATCTATTTGGATTATTCAATCAACGGTTTAATAATCATTTAATTGGAGGTACTTGATTTGTATATTTGTTGATATAGGTTATACCTGTTGATATAAAGTGATTTTGCCACCTTTAATTAGAATTAGAAAGCGATTTGATAGAAAGCGCTTTGATGGGTCGTCTGATGTCTGAGTAGTATAATAGCCTTTACAATATTTAAATAATTTTTTATCTTTTTTATAAGATTTACAATTTACTCAAATAAAACTTCGCATTTTTAGATTCAAGAAAAGTCTCGTTTCAAAGCAAATCCTTACAACTACGCTATGAGGAAGACTCAGTTAATGAAAGAAAGGGATGGGGCTATAAGCAGAGGCGATGAAGATGTTGCCAGGGAATTAGCTCAAAAGCTATCCGACTTGGAAGAAAGAGCTTCAGAATTAGACAAATTACGTACTTCAACCATTTCCAGTATCTCTTACATAAACGATAGAAATAGGAAAAAGAATGTAGAAGAAGCCGAAAAGGCTATCATGGAGGAAGTTAGGGCAAATAAAGGCAAAAAAGTAAGTTGTCACTCATGTTTATTATTTAACGAACTCTTCCTCTTTGTCTGTCCCATTAATGTTTAGATTATTACTTCGCCACTTTTGCTCACGATTCACGCTCTTATTTCGTACCGGGGACTTATCACGAGCGATAGATACCAGTGTTCCCTCTTCTATTCTGTTAATGAATTCATTTCACATTTTTTTTCTTTTTATAATCGAGAATCAAAATTGTATGCAATACATTCTTGCAATGTACGAAGTTATAGTAACGTTTCAGCGCTCTGGTAGGTCTCCCAATGGCGTACGAAAAAGCTACTTGTATGAAGAAATACCTATTTATATGTATCACGTTAATGTAGGAATATGATTATTATTGACATTTGGGTTAATTACAATAAATAATTTTAGGCTAGGTTAGTTAAGCCTCCCTAAAACCGCGATCGTCGATGAAAGGCGACGATAACATTTTGACGACGAAATAAAAAAAAAAGTTCCTATTTACGATAGGGTTTATACATAGAAGTGGTTTATATTAGTTATTGTAGCCAGCAACATGGTGTTGATAGGTAATATTGAAGTTTTTACCGGTGTTCCAGAAGAATTTGAATCCTACATAGAAAGATTAGAACATTTGTTCACTGTTAATAAGTTAATTACTAATAAACTGGGAATAAGCCACAATTAAAGATAAAAATACGTTTATTGACGTTTCAATTTCCACTTCGGAAATCGTTCTCAAAATACAAACAGTAAAATACAATTTACTGTTTGTATTTTGAGAACGATTTCCGAAGTGGAAATTGAAACGTCAATAAACGTATTTTTATCTTTAATTGTGGCTTATTCCCAGTTTATTAGTAATTAATTTACAATGCCACAAGAAAATAGCTTCAGAACAACTGTTAATAAGGTTGAAGAAAATGTGAAGGTTTCAATGTTAATCACACTAGGAGGTAAGAGTCTTTTTCAGCTGTTGAAAAACTCAGTGGTCCCGATAAAACCAACGGACTTTACGTTAAAAGAAGTAAAAGGGAAATTGATTAAACATTTTTCTCCACCTGTGTCCGAAATCTACGAACGTTTTGTTTTCAATCGGTGTGAACAAAAAGCTGATCAATCTATCTCTGATTATAGTGTAGAGTTAGGAAGTTGGCAAATTCTTGCGATTTTGGACAGTTTCTAGAAGAGGCTCTAAGGGATAGGTTTGTTTGTGAGATTAGAGACGAAGGAACACAAAAGAAGTTATTGGGTGAGGTAGATTTAACATTTCAGAATGCTTGTCAGTTAGCTTTGGCCTCAGAAGTAGCACAGAAACAAGTTAAGTTGTTATCCGAGGGAAGTAGGTGTTATCCAGTGCAGATCAAAGTTGTAAAAATTGTGGCAGAAGTCATTATAGAGGTAAATGTCCAGCTGAAAAATGGAATGTTTTAATTGTGTATTGTGTATGTAATATTCGACCATATCCTATGAATGTAGTACAAGAGGAAGACTATAACATTGAGAGGGATGAGGTAAATAATGACATATTTAATCTTCATACAGTGAGTGATGTGTCAAATTCTGCATATCATGTAACCCTAAAGATAAACAATAATAATTTAACCTTTGAGGTAGATACTGGTGCATGTAGAACAGTAATGTCAGCATCCAAATTTAAAGATGTACTAAATCTAGCTTTAGCACCTGTAAATTACAAACTTACTACTGTTTCAGGTCAACATATTAAAGCTGTAGGTGAATATATATTTGATAATAAAGTAATCTAAGTACAATATATTATTTACCACGGGCTCAAACTTAACATTTTGGCAGTCGTTTTTTTTTTTTCGACAACCAAGACAGATCGTAAAGTACTATTACATCTTTCGGAGTGAGATACAATTCTGAAATTGGTCTAATTATTTCATTAGTGCAATGAACACGTATTATATATAGTGTTATGAGCAATATGGAAGGCGAGAGCAGTCAAAGTATATTATAAGGTTAGGTTATCAAAACGTATATTCATAAAAAGCCGAGGATTGCTGAAATATTTTAAGATATAATTTTGTGATTACCAATAATTAAAATTTTATAATAAGTAAAATTTTTGAAACATCACAATAATATAATGTAGCGTAGTGTTACGGATCTATATAAAGTGTCCTGTTAATCCCCAAGCAAATATCTTTCGCCAAAAAAATCACGAGAGGGTTTTGACAACGTTGACCCCAACAACGTTCGTCCAATGTGTGTACCGACAAAACTATGTTGGGGCTAATGTTGACGCCAACGTTTTTATGACTAGCTCCAACGTTGGGAGTTTTCCCTAAACTGTCGGTTTTTGCGTATACATCAAAGGGATTGGCGCGCTACAGACTGATATCGCCCCAATACTCAACCCAATGTGTGGATGCCTCACCGAACAGTTGACCCACCATTGGCTCCAACGTTGGATCCCATGTGTGGAGCCGGCCTAAGAAGGAACAGACCTACCAGTTAAACACTTTGTGTTGGTATTGTACTATTATTATAAATCTAATTTATTGTCTTTATTTATTATAAAAATATTCCAACAGTTTTACAACACTTACTTTTACATACTTACTATTAAAGTCTTTATTAATTTATATATAATAATTTATTTCCGCGTTACAGTTTAAACTCGATACAATTATATTTTCCGACTAACTTGTTTTCAAATAAAAATCCCTCATATATATACAAAACAGCCGCTAGATCCGGAGTCCCCTCGAACGGACGATGACCTTCTCGAATAGAGTGGAATCCCATCGAAAGCAGACAGGTTTTTATCGGAGGGTCGGACCCGTGGATCTTCTTACTAGAAAATACTCGAATGTAAAAGGATGTTTACAGTTTAGATATGAGTCATTATTTATCGTAACAGTATCATGTGACGTCACTTATTATTATACGGATTACGTGCATCGGGATTTATACTGTTCTAACTGTATTTTAAACTTAAGTTGTGGCTTATCCCCATTAAAACAGTAATTGGTTTAAGATGCCATAAGAAAATGGCTTCAAAATAGTATAAAAAGTCATAGTAATGACAAAATGTCTTCTTTTCAGGCTGATGATCCGTTCACAAGACGATCGACCAAACCTAGGATGAACTTCAAAGCAGGAGAAAAAGAGGCACGTGCCATCAAGGAAGCTGAACTTGCAAAATTAGCTGCCGAACGAAAAAAGAATGAAAAAATAGCAGTTCTTGAAACCAAAAAATCCGCTCAACCTGCTCAAGTTTCTCAAGACGACTTGTTTTCTGCCCATGACTTTGATATTAAAATTGATCTTGAAGTACCTCTGGCCGGTAGGTTATTTTATTTATTTTACCATAATAATTTACTTTTTTATTTTCGTCTGGTAATAAAAGAATTAGAAGTTAAATAATAATAAAATAAATAAATTCAAAAATAATACATCTGTCACGATTTCAACTACCTTTCAATAGAAGATAATACGTGTCAAGTTCGTATGTTTATTTTACATTATTGGGACTTCAGACATTTTTAATATATGGTTTCTGATTCAATAGGTTCCTAAACAATTTCCTCAAAGTAAGTGTTAATAATATAGGTGACAATATCAGTTATACAATGCGCACATAAAGTATGGAAACATAAAAATATTTGTGTCACCCGTCCCTCCGTATGATATAGTAACAAAATCTTGGTTATGTCTATTAGATGGACCAGCAATTTCAAATTTTATATTTTCGGCGTTTTCTATTGCAAATCCTGCCCAAACATTGATCTTTTGTCGATACTTCTTAGGTGTCTCAACCATCCAATGCGGATTTTCGTCTGATCAGTACCTGCAGTTTTGGTTATTATCCGTGCTATTTAAATGGAAAGTAGGATCATTAGAAAATAAGGACTCTACACTCTACATAAACAAATAATAAATATATTAGGTGGACTCCGTTCACCTACTTACCTACGAAACTTAATCATCCTGATCTTTCTTCTGGTCGAAGGTATAATAATAATTTAATATAATAAGCAAATATTCAGGGGTATTGTTATATCAGGAAACTTGTTAGGAGTTGACAAATAAAATTCATACATAAAACAATATACATATAGAAATAAACAGTAATATGAATAATAAATACCTTTACAAATACAATATAATGAAATCATACACAAATTAAATTATCAGCGAAGTGAGCCTGATAGTGATTAAAAATATTCTACTAAAACTAATTGAAAAAAAGCTATCTTTGCTAGATATGGGCGTATCTCATGGTAACGGGTACAGTAAATAAAAAAAATGAATAACAAAAAGTTAAATTCAATGAATACAAAAAGATTACAGGAATAAAAATTAAACTAACCCGCACTGGCTAAGTTAATTATCTGTTCGCACTGTTCTTTAATAATTAACTGAGAATTAAATGTTCGTAATTTAGAAGATCTAAAAAACTGATGGAAAGTTTATATGAAATTATTAAATGTTCCTTGATTGAATGCTAACTCAGTAGTTAACCTTAACGACAGGTAAAAAAAATGGTTGAACGTAGATTCGCCCAGGTAATTGAAGAATGGATTACAATAACTTACAGTAATTCTCGATATCTGCTACACCGTACTGAAGTTAATATACTCTACTATATTACTTTACTTGTATCAAACACTGAAGTTAATTAAATTAAAAGTAGTTTATACCAATATTTATACTAATATGGTATTAGATTAAAAAAACTCAAATATATACAAGTCAAGTGTATACACTCTTAGAGAAAAATTCAGAGACGGTAATTTAGGCAAGCGTCCTCACTCAAGGATCGCCCAGCCACAAGTAAGGTGGTTCCTCTAAAAATTCTACAAGCTTCCCCTAAAAAATGGTGGAGTAACGTACACTTTAAAATGACAGGCCAGACAGTATGTATTTCTAAGAAGGTAAAAAGGTCTGAAAGGTTCGAGGTAAACAACGGTACCAGCAATTTGACGTGAGAAAAATAAAATCTTCTGAATTAGGTTTTTACAGAAAAATTACTATAAACGTGCCTTCGACGATATTTAACAAATCTATCAAAAGGAACTCGGATTTAAAACCGGAAGGCATTAAACAAACCGGCGACTTTAAATAAATAGACTCTTCCGTAATCTGAAAATTCCCGTGATATTTATATTATTTTATTTAAATTATAATATTTAAATTATAAATAAAATGTTAAGTTTATTGCAGAACTTTAGTTGGTTTATGTAAAGTTAACACACTTCCACAAGTTTGTCATTTTTATTACTACTGCCATTAATACATTTTTGGCCAGGTAAACATAAATTATTTGTGTGCCCATTCTACATTAATTTTACCGACTACCTTATTCCTTCTGTAGTCAATTTGTTCAGTTTATTCTTGTAAATGCTCCTACTTATACATTTCACAGTTTTGTTTGGCTTACGAGTTTCTAATTTTTCACACCTGTGACGCATCATTTATCCTTAAATACTCATGAACAACTATTTAATCATTATTATAGTTTAGATACAATAAATATAAATACCTTTATTTATAATGTAAATAGTAAAACTTTAATATTTTGTTTCAGCTACACCAGTAAACGTGGTTCCTAAGACAATGACAAAAGATTTAGCACCTAAACGAAGCCTAAATCTGCAGGACTACAAAAAGAAACGGGGCCTTATTTAATATTTGTTTCATATCGGACCAGAGTCTTTAGAGTATTTATGTAATTATTCCTATTGCAACTATCAACCTCCCAAATCTCTATTAAAGACAATTTTGAAGCCAATGGTATTAAACGAATATTTTTGTTAAACCATTTAGAATGTAATTTTAACTATGTATTTATTATTTTAGTGTCAGATAGTGGCCTCTTTACATTATATTAGGTTAAATTTGTATATATTAAGAAAATGTGGCCCATGAAGTATAGTATCTTGAATAAACTACTTTTTATACATGCATTTGTATCATTTTTAAGGTTTGTTGGAACTACACAACTTTTTATGTGAAACAACTCTTATGTCATATGTCCGAAACTGATATTTTGTGTGTGCGCGGCACATAATATTATATTATTCGTTGCTACTCCATTCGAGATCACCAGCATACACAGTTTGAATGTGTATACTGCGCGTGCAGTGCACACAGTATATTGTTATAATAAGAAAATACATTTATTTTATTGTCAAAACTATGCTTTTATATGTACTTCACGTGTATGTATATGATGGAGATGAAGTAATTAAGAAAAAAGCAGGAAAAACAAAACTGGAACGAATCAGAATTGTGGATACTAGAAAAGTCATAAAATAGGAATCGATATTATCTATTAAAAATTCAAAAACAACAAAAAGCCTATATGGAACATCTGCACAATGGACTAATGGAGAATACATCGAGTTTGAATATGAAGAAGATATGAGCATATTAACGAATATATTAAAAACAATGTCAGAAAGTGTGGTTAACGATCATACCAATATGGCAGTGGGATCAGGGCCGGACTCAATAATATTAAAACTATTATACAATTATAACTAGTTATTCAAAAGATTTAAACAAAATCTAAAAAAGTGCAATACATTTTTAATAAACTATGATTTATTCAATCAAAATTAAAGGAGTTGCCATTGGGTAGCTATTAAAAAATATGATGTACACTAAATCCACCAACTGCGCGAGTACAAAAAATGTAGGAAACAAATTGATTAAAACGTAGGAATATAAGATTCACATTTATTAAAAGTGTAGCCTAATAAATGCCACTGTTAGGCTATGGACAAGTGTGCTTAATGGAAGATGGAAAATGCTCTGATCATTGGCAACACGGTTACACAAATAAGGGTACTACGGTATGGGCTTCAGTCTGGTAGAGGTGTCTTGGTCGGGATACTACAGAGCTAGACTGCCAGAGATTCGCGAGTGAGGTAAATATACGTAAGAGAAGAAACGTTTAGGCACCACCCTATTTTTGAAGGAATAGGGAAACAGCGTAAATACGAGAATGAATAAAAGATTAGATAAGAGAGATAACGTGAAAGATATAAAGTGACGAAAACGGAAAGAAAATAAGACAAAAACAATACGAGAAAGATACAAATGGTTACTAGACGGGAACAAAAAGACTAGGGAAGAGTAATTATATCCCGCTGTAAAAACTAAAAATACGACATATATACATAATATATAATGAATACAATCAAATAATAAGTTGTACCTGAAAGAGATAATAATATAAATAATATTTTAAAGGGTAAACTAAATACGCGGTATGAGATAAAAGAAATACGTTGTTTCACAACTTATGTATTTGATAACTTCAAATTAATTGAACGCTGTACAAAGTTCGTTACATACTAGACCAAAAATTAGTTCAAGTAATATTAAAATTTTAAGATTTATTTAGATTTAAGATATTTGAGTACTCTCAAGAATAGCACAAAAAATCTGGAAATTGACAATAAATCGCTAAACTGGAGTAGGTAGTATCTCTGATCATAAAACTTTCGGCTTTTGATTGATTTGAGATGAAACATAAAAATACAATTATATCCATCACTAAGCATTAATAACAAATTTATATTTTAAATAAAAGATATGATTAATGAACTGACAAATATAAAAGCTTTAGTAATTAATTATTAGTATCTTTATATTCTGTGTATTCATTATTTCTATTTTATTGGAAGTGGATGTTTTAATTGCTATTTTCTCAACTTTTCAAAATATTCAATAATGACTGGAAAATTAATCGAAAGATTTTTGATGAATACTATTAATTTATTCTCTGAAGTACGGGCCATTACTTTGTTTACATATTTGTATACTAACCAATAACCTTACCTATACCTTATACGAAACTTTATTTCTGAAGATTTTTTATCAACATTGCTTATGCTACTGCAACTACGTTGAGAACAAGAAACTATTATTATGCACTATCACAATATAATATTACAGTTACTATTAAAACTAAAAAATATTCTAAAAACAACAAACGTAAACACTCATAGACGATGACTAAACCATCGTGTTAAAACCATCCTTAGATTTCAAGGAACATCTTAAAACAAGAATTGTTAAAATTGGACCATTGTCTGTGCGTTGTTGAGTTATCCGCTTACCAACATTTTGCGATTCATTTTTATATTATACATTGTTTAGACAACAGCGAGTGTTTATAATTTAATAAAAACCTTATTGAATAGCAATAAAGTTCAAATTGACTCTACATTTAGTTAGAAAATATTAGTATGGGAAAAACAAAAGAGCTGTTTTAAAGTTTTTCCGGAAATTATTCGAATTTTTCATGCCGTAAAAACCATCCTTAGACTTCAAGAAACATTTAAAAAAAAATTGTTAAAATTGGTTCATGTTAAATAGTAACTGGTCCATGTGTTGTTGAGTTATCCGGTTACCAACACATTTTGCGATTCATTTTTTTTATTATAGATTGTTTAGACAACAGTGAGTACTTGTAATTTAATATAAACTTTATTGAATAGCAATAAAGTTCAAATTGACTCTACATTTAGTTAGAAAATATTTGTATGGGAAAAACAAAAGAGCTGTTTTAGGGTTTTCCGGAAATTATTCGAATTTTTCATGCCGTAAAAACCATCCTTAGACTTCAAGGAACATTTTAAAAAAAAATTGTTAAGATTGGTTCATGTTAAATAGTAATTGGTCCATGTGTTGTTGAGTTATCCGCTTACCAACACATTTTGCGATTCATTTTTTTATTATAGATTGTTTAGACAACAGTGAGTACTTGTAATTTAATATAAACTTTATTGAATAGCAATAAAGTTCAAATTGACTCTACATTTAGTTAGAAAATATTTGTATGGGAAAAACAAAAGAGCTGTTTTAGGGTTTTCCCGGAAATTATTCGAATTTTTCATGCCGTAAAAACCATCCTTAGACTTCAAGGAACATTTAAAAAAAAATTGTTAAGATTGGTTCATGTTAAATAGTAATTGGTCCATGTGTTGTTGAGTTATCCGCTTACCAACACATTTTGCGATTCATTTTTTTTATTATAGATTGTTTAGACAACAGTGAGTACTTGTAATTTAATATAAAGTTTATTGAATAGCGATAAAGTTCAAATTGACTCTACATTTAGTTAGAAAATATTAGTATGGGAAAAACAAAAGAGCTGTTTTAAAGTTTTTCCGGAAACTATTCGAATTTTTCATGCCGTAAAAACCATCCTTAGACTTCAAGGAACATTTTAAAAAAAAATTGTCAAGATTGGTTCATGTTAAATAGTAATTGGTCCATGTGTTGTTGAGTTATCCGCTTACCAACACATTTTGCGATTCATTTTTTTATTATAGATTGTTTACACAACAGTGAGTACTTGTAATTTAATATAAACTTTATTGAATAGCAATAAAGTTCAAATTGACTCTACATTTAGTTAGAAAATATTTGTATGGGAAAAACAAAAGAGCTGTTTTAGGGTTTTCCCGGATTTTATTCGAATTTTTCATGCCGTAAAAACCATCCTTAGACTTCAAGGAACATTTTAAAAAAAAAATTGTTAAGATTGGTTCATGTTAAATAGTAATTGGTCCATGTGTTGTTGAGTTATCCGCTTACCAACACATTTTGCGATTCATTTTTTTTATTATAGATTGTTTAGACAACAGTGAGTACTTGTAATTTAATATAAACTTTATTGAATAGCGATAAAGTTCAAATTGACTCTAAATTTAGTTAGAAAATATTTGTATGGGAAAAACAAAAGAGCTGTTTTAGGGTTTTCCCGGAAATTATTCGAATTTTTCATGCCGTAAAAACCATCCTTAGACTTCAAGAAACATTTAAAAAAAAATTGTTAAGATTGGTTCATGTTAAATAGTAATTGGTCCATGTGTTGTTGAGTTATCCGCTTACCAACACATTTTGCGATTCATTTTTTTATTATAGATTGTTTAGACAACAGTGAGTACGTGTAATTTAACATAAACTTTATTGAATAGCAATAAAGTTCAAATTGACTCTACATTTAGTTAGAAATTATTTGTATGGGAAGAACAAAAGAGCTGTTTTAGGGTTTTCCCGGAAATTATTCAAATTTTTCATGTCGTAAAAACCATCCTTAGATTTTAAGGAAAATTTAAAAAAAAAAGAATTGATAAGATTGGTCCATACGTTGTTAAGTTATCCGCTTACCAACACATTTTGCGATCCATTTTTATATTATAGATTGTTTAGACAACAGTGAGTGCTTGTAAGTATAAATTTTATTGAATAGCAATAAAGTTCAAATTGTCTCTACATTTAGTTAAAAAATATTTGTGTGGGAAAAAGAAAAGGGGCTGTTTTAGAGTTTTTTCCGGAAATTATTCGAATTTTTCATGCCGTAAAAACCATCCTTAGACTTCAAGAAACATTTAAAAAAATAATTGTTAAGATTGATCTATGCGTTTTTGAGTTACCCACTTATCAATACATTTTGCGATTCATTTTTATATTATAGATTGTTTAGACAACAGTGAGTGCTTGTAATTTAATATAAAGTTTATTGAATAGTAATAAAGTTCAAGTTTACTCTACATTTAGTTAGAAAATATTTGTATGGAAAAAAGAAAAAGGCTGTTTTATGGTTTTCCCGGAAATTATTCGAATTTTTCATGCCGTAAAAACCATCCTTAGACTTCAAGGAAAATTTTAAAAAAGAATTGTTAAGAAACGGCTCAACAACAAGAACAGAGTGTAGAACGAAAATGGAGTTATATTAAAGACGTCATGCTGAATGCGGGAAAAGAACATCTTAGAAAGAAAAAAAGAGTAAAAAATAAAGAATGGATGACTGATGACATGCAGCTGATGGAACAAAGAAGATTAATGAAAAACAGGGACGCGAAGAAATATCAAGAAACCAACCA